CCACCCTGAGCTTACTTTGCTTTGCTTTGCTTTGCTTGACTGGTCTTGTGACCCCTTGTTCTCCCCCACTTTGCCTATGGGGGTGTGTCAGAGTTATATGACATATTTTCCGTAGGCTATAGTGGGGTAGCACATATGGGGTACAGCTTTCTAGGGTTGTATTTGTACCCAACTTTGACTTAGTCATTTCATTCCAGTCTAAACTTCTCACACGCGCACACTCGTGCACCCACATACACATACACATTCACACATACACTCACGCACACTCGCACACACACACAAATACACACACTCCCACACACACACCCCCACCCACACACTTGCACACACACACACACCCTACACACGCGCACACTCGTGCACCCACACGCACATACACATTCACACATTCACACATACACTCACACACACTCGCACACACACACAAATACACACTCCCACACACACACCCCCACCCGCACACTCGCACACACATACACACACACACCCTACACACGCGCACACTCGTGCACCCACACACACATACACATTCACACATACACTCACGCACACTCGCACACACACACAAATACACACACTCCCACACACACACCCCCAACCGCACACTCGCACACACATACATACACAAACACACACACACACATACGCTCTCACACTCGCACACACACACACACGCACTCGCACACACACACTCGCACATACATACACACTCGCGCACACACACACACACCCACATGTACTACGACACACAGAACCCAATACATGGACACACAACAACGCACACACACTCTAACACATAGACATTTACACAAACACACCCCAATGCACAAACCTGTTGCAGAGCAACGCATCGTGCTTGATCGTCGCTCGCCTCCTCGATGGACGCGGTCATCTTCTCGATCAGCTCGGAAATGAGGCAACGTCGACTGATCGCTGCCTCGGCGTTCCTCTTGTTCAACGCGCAATACGGCCGCTTCATTATGGCGACGTGCACATGCTCATAAACATCCGTGCAGTAGTGAATTGGGATGCCTCGCCGCCTGATGTCGTCGGTAACATGCAGCATCGCGTGTATCTTGGGGACGTTGAAGTGCAACTTCTGGTCCGCCTCGAACTCCGTCATGAGCATCGGTACCAACCTACATGTATATGAAAGTAAACGGTGATCAGTGATACATTAGTATACAGGAAAACAATTAAGGATGCAACCGAACAACCATACAACGGCAAGTACGGACGACAAGCAATCAAAAACACTTACTCACGTGCGTGTGAGGTTGTCGAGGTTCTCCAACGAGTCGTCATCGTGGTACGTCCGATGCCATGCCTCGGAATGCCAGTGGCAGAACAACTCCACTGCTCGGATCGTTTTGTCATCCACCTTGACCATCAACAAGAGCGCTGGTAGCACTTGCATGACTGCCTGATGATGGAAGGCCTTGAAAGTGGCATTCCCACTGAAGTATCCGTCGGAGTGCGTCGGTAGTCGAAAGAAAGACTGTCTACTATAATGGATGATGGTCTTGAGCGCGGCATCCAGCTTTTGTAGCTTCTTTGTACTGAGCTTCGACTTGAGACCTTCTAAGATGTGTTTGTACACACCCAGCAGCGACGTGTGCATGAAGTCGGATGTGATTTGCCGATAAGGATTGGCAAAATCCTTATCAGCAAATCGTTGCCCCCACAATGCGCTCTGCACAAATACAAACGGTTGGGTTGTGATAAAGTACCTGTCAGAATCCCAGCCATCACAACAACATCATTGCATAAGATATGCAACAGCATATCGAAACCCTAGGTGCAAACGCGACGTCACTTACATGAATGCAGTGGGTACTGCGTGCACGCTCGAGGTCCGTGCATGCTTCTTTCGTACGCGCACGCTCCATCTCACCGACAAGCTGCTTCTGACATTCCTCCCTCCTGTACTCCAGTGGGTATTCCATGTTGTTGAGCTCCTCCTTTGGTACGGCGCATCTCGGACATGGGAGCTTTGTCTTGATGCCCGACTTGGTTCCGGCGACCTTGCACTGCTCTGGGTAGTCACCGACGTACGCGTACATCATCAGATAAACCTTTCGGCGAATGCCATATGGGTCCGTGAGTATCATACCGCTACACAAGCAATGGAAATGTACGCAGCTCGTCGTTAGTGAAACATCACAAGCGCGAGATACTTCGGCGAGCATTGCATACATAAAGAAAGTGTATTTGCACGAATAAAGCACTTACTTGTACTGCCCGGCCTTCAATTCCTGCATGATGAGATTCAGGGCCTCCTAAAACACTTCAAGCCGCCGACGCTCTTCATTCCCTTTCGCGTAGAAGCCGCCGTCGTCGTCGAGTAACAGAGCGACAAGTCGATGGCCGTGCGATTTCCAACGATTACCCGAAGCAATGTTGGCCAGTGAGATGTACACTGGCCAACCCTTGAGTCCTCCATCGATGGTGAGTGTCGTTTCGTCAGAGTATATAATCACCGCAGCTACTGACGCCCCTTGTGGCAATTCGGCTAGGACTTCTCGCCACCAACTCCTCGTCTCAGGACCCTTGTATATGCGCTTAGCTTCAGGGTCGCTGTTGGGTGGCGGTGGTTTCACAACGAAGCCGTCCGCATTCGCCACGTTCTCGTATAGGCTTGCCACGCAGTTCAGTGCAGAACGACGCCACATGATCACCGGATCCAAATCCCCCTCCTTCGCAAGATTAACTTGCTCGAAAGGGTGCAAATTGGCATCGGCGAGTTGCAACTTCTCGTAGCCATCAAATGCGGCAAGGGAATTTATGGTTAGACGCCCGGGATTGCTCAACACCTCTATGAGGATGGATATCAACTCTTTGATATCCACCCTCGAGAGTCCGGAACCTCCTGCAGCCGTCCTTACAAAACGATACGCGCGTGCGTTGAGATCCACCTTTGATGTATCACCACCGGAGGAGAAGCGATACCCTGTTGGGTCCTCATTCATCTCTGCAGCGTCCACGTCCTCTGCCATGCGACTACTCTCTGCCTACGCTTCAATGCGGGTACGTTTAGTTGGTCGTGTGCGAATGCGCTCTGCAGCAGCTTGGAGCGCCTCTGCAGCTCCGCCCTGGCTACTTTCGTTTCGCAGATCTGGAGTTGCTTCAGGAGGAGCCTTGAACTTGTGCTTTCCTTTCGACATGTGCCATGCCTTTGCCAACGAAGTAGGAAATTTTGCAATGCAGTCCTTCACGTCACATCGATAATGCCCCTCTTCTTCCATTCCGCCAAGTAGGATCTTGCCAACTTAATGAAATGGTATAATGCAAGCAAGTGTATGTAATTAACACAACTCTGATCACCAAGTCCCAATCCTATGTGCCTACATCTAGAAGTCCCTAAGCAACAGTCTTCAGCTGAAACACCATTAGCAGGCCTGCAGGTACACGAAATGCCATAAGCAATGTAAGTGAACGCAGCCTGGAATGCCAAGAACCCTTTTGCTCATATAGACAGTTTTCCAAAAAAAAAAAAAAAAAAAAAAAAACACACACACACACAACAAAAACAAAAAAACAACGGACCGTACAGTGAGATAAGCAGAGCAGCGAGGTATTCTTGCTCCATGCAATGCTGGCTTACCTCTGGGTGTCGAAATGTAGGTGCGGTAGCAGCAAAAACACCTGCAAAAACATAATGTACAAGCAGGGTGGTTAACCATTCTCAACATGGCACATATAACACGATGAAGAAGCACCCTCAAGGAAAATAATACGAACTCATGGCCGCATGATAAAGAAATTGTGACCATCCGAGAAGAGCACTGACACTCGCTAGACGACGGACGAAACCTACCTTGTTCAGATTTGAAGGATACTACAGATGTGGAAAAAAAAGAGAAAATAATGCTAAGGATTTCTGATTACCTGAGAATATCTGCACGCGATTTCAGGTTGATGACGTCGAGAGAAACAGTGACCTCGGCGCCAGCTAGACAGAACCTGTGAAATGTTGTAACTCAGTAGGTGACGTGAAGGGAGAAGAGGAACGAGCGTGAGAAACAGTTATGGAGCAGAAGAATGAATGACTGATCTGTGACTTCGAGTGGAAGTCACAGATCGGGAAGGGGAAGGGTGCGGTTGGGAACCTTCGCCTATGCTGAATCTGGCTTGGGTACAATTGGGTTGGTCATTCTGAAGTCTGCAAGTTACTGTGCAACTCCACGCGTCAATTACGGGACACGGTGTAATTTCTTCACTATAGTGTATTGCCACGCCATCACCCTGGGTCAACCTCATACACACATTTCTGCCGTCGACTTCCTTGATTGGGTAAGGCGCGTTGCCAGAAATATGAACGGTGAGCGATCGCGGATGTCCATCAATGTGTTACTGTACACGCGTGAAAAATGGGCCACGTTTACATTTTTTCACTCGCCTCTCTTCAGTCCCTGCAAATCCGCACCACCCTCCCTCCCAGCCCACCAACAAATTCATTACACTTCCCTTTTGGCGCGCATGCCTTTGGCAAATCTTGAAACATGTGGTTACAGTCCAGCCTATACATGTTAAAGGCAGCAGCTAAAATAGTGACCCCCCCCCTTCTAGTTGGGTCCACTTGAAAGTTGAAGTGTTTTTTTTTTTTTTTTTTTTTTTTTTTTTTTTTTCAGGCGCATATGATGCTGATCGAGTTTCCAAACTTCAAATCAAATGTTGCATTTCGTCGCAAACATGTGCAAATGCGTCGCTCAAAACATTGCAATGCGCAAGTCTCATTCATATCCATTGTCAAATTTGGATTGTGAAGCACGTCCAACTCATGCAAAGCAAGCCCAACGCACGCAAAGCAAATGCCTTAAACATGGGCATGCAAGGGAGGCGATAACAACATTGGAAAAACAAGAAGCAAAAAAAACAAAGAATTTCAGGGCACGAGAGAATAGATACTTAGTGCAGCAGAAACGAGGACGCGGGAAGAGAGATGCGTGAGCAAAATCTACGGAATGGTAGGGAGATGGGAGGGGCATGGGGGAGGGTCAGATGAGGTGGAGCGAGGGCGACGGAAATGGAGGGGAGAGAGCAAGGGAGACGGATAGGGAGGGAAGAGAGCGAGGGCAATGGAAAGGGAGGGGAGAACGCGAGGGCGACGAGAACAGAGGGGAGAGAGCGCGGGCGACGGAAATGGAGGGGAGAGACCAAGGGCGGTGGAAAAGGAGGGGAGAGAGCAAGGGAACGGGAACAAGGACCTGAAGGGATCGACGGGAGGGGAGGTAAATTTGTACGAAATAAGGGTCCCTATTATTATAATAAGAAAACATAGAAGAACTAGTTGGCTGCATAAGTATTTAGCGTCAGGTGATTAACCCCGCCCCCGCCAGCACCTAAAACTATTGTCACTTAATACTTTGAGCTTCAGGAAAGGGGGATAGCAAGGTCGATATTACTACGAGACGGCAGAGAATTTTGCGAGGCGACGGGAGAGAGCGGGGGCGACGGGAGAGAGCGTGGGCGACGGGACAGAGCGAGGGCGACGTGAGAGATAGAGGGCGACGGGAGAGAGGGCGACGGGACAGAACAAAGGAGAGAGCGAGGGCGATGGGAGAGAGGGCGACGGGAGAGAGGGCGACGGGAAGGGCGCGGAGAGAGAGAGAGCACGATGGGAAGGGAGGGGGGAGAGAGAGGGCGACGGGAGAGAGGGCGACGGGAAGGGAGTGGAGAGAGAGATCGCGATGGGAAGGGAGGGGGGAGAGAAAGGGCGACGGGAGAGAGGGTGACGAGAAGGGAGCGGAGGAGAGAGCACGCGATGGGGAGGGAGGGGGGAGAGAGAGGGCGACGGGAGGGAGGGCGACGGGAAGGGAGCGGAGAGAGAGAGAGCACGATGGGAAGGGAGGGGCGAGGGAGAGGGCAACGCAAGAGAGGGCGACGGGAAGGGAGCGGAGAGAGAGAGAGCGCGATGGGAAGGGAGGGGGGAGAGAAAGGGCGACGGGAAGGGTGTCAAACATATATTTATATGTTATAGTTTGGGTAGGCTTAGTGGGGTACTCACTGTGGGGTACAACCCCTTAGGTTTCACTTTTCTACCAAACTCCTCGATAGTTCAATCACTCCTTGTCTAAGATTTCAACATGGCATCTAGAGCATAGGTCTTTAGGACCTAAGATTAGGGCCCACCGGTTACCATATTACCTCACGTGCCTACCTGCCTTGCCTACTGCCCGCGCGCGCCTCGGCTGCATGCGCGTGGCCCTTTTTCTTTTTTTTTCCCCCGCGCGCGCCTCTTAAGCAGCCCGCGCGGCCCGTTTAGGCCCCACCCGCGCAGCCCGTTTAGGCCCCACCAGCGCGCCACTTACGCCGCCCGCGCGCAGTCTGCTTAGGCCACGCCCGCGCAGCCTGCCGCCGCACGCAGCCCGCAGCCGCGCGCGCAGCCCGTCGTCACGCGCAGCCAGGAGCCGCGCGCAGCTCATCGCCACGCGCAGCCAGCAGCCGCGCGCAGCCCTCAGCCGCACGCAGCCAGCAGCCGCGCGTGCCCTGCCCGTGTGCCTACCTGCGCAGCCCGCTGCTGCCGAGCCCGCTGCCTTAGAAAGCGCGCGGCCTGCTGCTGCCTAACGCGCCGCCTTAGGATCTTGAGTGCGGCAAGCTACTGCCCTGCAAGTTGCCTGTGTTGCCTGCTACCTGCTGCCTCTGTCTTGGCCTGTGGTCTACTGCCTGCTGCCTCCTGTCTGCCGCCTGCTGTCTCTGTCTTTGCCTGCGGCCTGCTGCCTACTGCCTCCTATCTGCTGCCTGCTGCCTACTGCCTTTTCCTGCTGCCGTTATGACGACGCCTAATGTTCTCGCGTTCGAGCCAGACCCCCACTTCCCAGCAGCTTCTTGACTGGTATGCCGGGCGTGGGGCTTCTGGGGGTCCTGGTCGCTGCCCCTATATCATTCGCACAGGTCACCGCACTGGTCGCCAGTGCACAGGGTTTCACACTGAGCAGCGCTGCTTCACTCGGCTTAGCGACGCCTGGCGCGCCAAGTTTCCTGATGCTCCTAAGTTCCCCAACTGGGCAGAGTTGCTTAGGCGTGATGTACCTATCTTTGATCTTGACTATGAGGCTATTCTTGCTACTATGTATGCATTGTCTGCAAGTGCTGAGGGTGACTGCTACTTGTGTGTGCCGCCGGATCCTGGTATAGCCCCTGCAGCACTAGGTGCTTGTGAGTCTGCTCCCCATGGTACTGCGCCTGCACAGGCCTTGCACACCTTTACATTTGACTCTGGTGCTTCCCGCTGCTTCTTTCGCAACAGCACCACAGTCACTCCCCTCCTTGCACCTGTTCCTGTCTCACTAGCTGACCCCTCTTTCACAGCCCTCAGAGGGGAATGAATGAATGAATGAACTAGCAGTGAAATGAGTACAAGTAGGAAACCCTAGAATTGTGTACCCCCTATAGGCTAACCCACTGTAGCCTACACAAGCATAACATGTATAATGTTTGACACACCCCCATAGGCAAAGTGGGGGAGAACAAGGGGTCACAAGACCAGTCAAGCAAAGCAAAGCAAGCTCAGGGTGGATCACAAAGTCACCACACAGTCCGAGCACAAGAGCAGGGCCAGAGGCCAGTTCACATGCAGGAGTACAGACATATATATAAAACTAGACAAGCAAGAGCAGGTATATATATATGTCACAGTACAAGTGAAGTCAAGAGGAGAGCAAGTGAGGCAAGACAGGCACAAGACCCAGCTGGGTGCAAAAGCGCTGATGGTCACAAGGCGCGAGTGCCTTGGTGAACACATCAGCAGTGTTGGCCTCAGAGGCCACGTACGCAAGTCGCAACTGACCACGCTGCTGCAGCTCACGAGCAAGGAAGTACCGGAGAGCAATGTGCTTCGTTCTGTGCTCCAAGCGCTGCTCTCGACACAAGGCCAGCATGGCCTTGTTGTCTACGTACAGCACTGGAGGAGAACGAGGCGGCTCTCCAAGGTCAGTCAGTAGGTAGGTGAGCCAGCGAAGCTCCTGTGCAGCCATGGCCCCGGCGTAGATCTCAGCCTCACAACTGGAGCCGAGAACCGAAGACGAGCGAGTAGACCGCCACGAGACAGAGCCGGAACCAAGGCTGAAGGTGTAACCCTGTGACGACCGCTGCGTAGCCTGGTCGTCAGCCCAAGAAGCGTCCGCGTGGCCGGTAAGGACCACTGGACTCCGCCCTCCAAGCACTAGCCCCATGCCCGACGTACTGCACAGGTAGCGCAATACCCTCTTCGCTGCAGCCATGTGCTCTGGTCTGTGTCTCCCAGGAGCAACATAGCGTGCAAGAATGCTCAGAGGGTATGCAAGGTCAGGTCGTGTGCAGGTCATCAGGTACATGAGGCAGCCAACAAGCTCTGCATACGGACCACTCGACTCTACGGACTCATCCGAAGGCAGAGCTGAGAGTGAGTGGCGAGTAGGCAGAGGAGTGGCCTGAGGCGAGGAGTACGTGAAGCCGAAGCGCTGAAGGACCTGCTGCACCATGTGTGACTGAGTCAAGGTAATGGTGCGGCGTGCTCTGTCCCGAGTGATCTGCAAGCCAAGGTAGCTGCGCAGTTCACCCAGGTCTGTGCACGTGTGTCTCTTCAGCAGCTCGGACTTCACGTAGGCGAGTCCAGCAGTGTCCGCTGTGGCAAAGACCAAGTCGTCGACGTACACGAGGATGTAGAACGGCGGCAGGGAAGTGTCGGTCCGAAGAAACAGCGACGGGTCAGCAGTAGAAGGAGCAAACCCAAGAGCCGCAAGCGTAGTCCTCAGTGTGTCGTGCCACTCACGCGGTGCCTGGCGGAGACCGTAGACTGGCCGTCGGAGGCTCCACTGGGTGCCAGGAGGGAAAGTCCCAGTGAAGCCAGGTGGACGGCGAAGCCAGATCTCCTCGTGCAGGCTACCCTGCAAGAACGCAGTGCTGAAGTCGAGAGAGTGAAGCTCGTAGTCGCGCTGAGCGGCTATGTGCAGCAGCACCCGAAGAGTAGTCATCTTCGGGGTGGGAGAGAAGGTCTGAAAGTAGTCAACTCCCTGCCGCTGACTGAAGCCACGAGCAACGTACCGTGCCTTGAAGACAGGTGGAGAGCCCGGCGGCCGCTTCACCCTGAAGATCCACATGCCACTGACGATGTTCGCCCCAGGAGGGGGAACCGCGTCAACGTAGGTGCCTGTGGACTTCCAGGAAGCCATCTCTGCATCCATAGCTGCCTGCCACTGAGAGGAGTAGGGACCCTCTACGGCCTCCGCGTAAGAACGCGGAGTCGGGATGTCTAGTGCATCCGGGTCTCCCTCAGGGGCAAGCAGTACAGACGCGAGATGAGGTGAAGCAGTCGCTAGACACTGTAACTCCTCCCGCCTGTCCTCTAGGACGTCCGTGCCAAGAGCACACTCACCCCCGACGGACGGAGGACAGACAGACGCAGACTCAGCAACAAGACTAGCAGCGTAGTCGAGACGACAGCGAGCAGCAAAGTCGACGAGCTCAGCGACTAGAGCAGACGCAGCAGTGGACTCAAAAGAGGGGTCAGTGACGACAGTAGCAAGCAGACGCGTGATAGTAGGACTGGCAGCATGAAGAGAGTCCGACTCAGGGTCGGCAAGCGCAGGAAGAGAGGACTCAGGAGGAGAAGGCAAAGGGGCACGCAGAGGAGCAGTGGACGGACGCAAAGACATCCGGTGCGTGCCAGGGACAGGAGGAGGACGCTGACGCGAACTGCGACCACTAGCGCGAGCAGCACGAACAGGCGACGCGGGACGAGACGCAGGCTCACGACGCTCAGCAAGACCTCCAGTAGGACCAGTGTAAGGAGAGGGAGCAGGCAGTGGAGAGGAAGGCTCCAGCAGGGACTGCGACTAGACAGGCGGTGGACCCTCTACTGGAGGAGAAAGACCAAGAACCTGCTGCAGGAGCGCAACGAAGTACGGCCGAGGCCGCGCGGCAGCTCCAGACTCAGCAGGGACAGCACCAGCACCCTCAGCGACAACACCAGCGCCACCCACACCTCCAGCGGCAGGACTAACAGCAGTAGGCTCAGCACCAACGCCCTCAGCAGCTCCAGCTCCAGGAGGACCAGCAGGTCCAGCAGCTCCGGGACCGGCAGCACCCGCACCCTCGACGGTCGAAGAAGCTCCAGCTCCAGCTCCAGCAGCACCTCCAGACTCAGCAGCACGCCTCCAGCGGCGAGCGAACCACTCGCGCAGCTCCTGTGGAGAGAGGGGCTCCCGGCGAGACGCAGCAGCAGGAGAAACCCCAGGCTCAGCAGCTCCAGACGCAGCACCCCCAGGCTCAGCAGCTCCCAGCTCAGCACCCCCAGGCTCAGCAGCTCCCGACCCAGCACCCCCAGACCCAGCACCTCCAGGCACAGCACCCCCCGGCTCAGCACCCCCAGGCTCCGCACCCTCCGCAGTAGCACCCTCAGGCCCAGCACCCCCAGCAGTAGCACCCCCAGGCTCAGCACCCCCGCGCACAGCACCCCCAGAGTCAGCACCCCCAGGCTCAGCACCCGCAGCAGCACCAGAGTCACCAGTAACCTCGACCGGGTCAACGGCGTCTACCTGGGACACACCTGAGGGGGCAGGAACCTGAGGGGGGAGGGGGTCTACCGGGGGGGGAACCGGCACAAGGAAGTCCGGGGGAGGGGGGAGGGAAGGAGTGCGGTAGGGGAAGAGACGGTAGAAGGGGACTGACTCGTCGAACGTGACGTCCTGGGAGGACAGAACACGACGAGAGGAGGGGTGGTAAAACTGCCACCCTGGGGCGTCAGTGGGGAAGCCAAGGAAGACACAGGGAGCAGCACGAGGGGACAGCTTGTCCGCAGACAAGTCGCGGACAAACGCCCGAGATCCCCAGACACGGAACACAGACGCATCGCCAACCTTCCCCGTCCACAGCAAGGCTGGGGACATCGCAGGCCGAGAGACCCGGGGGTGAAGGTTGAGCTGATGCGCCGCGTACCTCACCGCAAACGGCCACAGAAAATGGGGGGCAGCCGCATGCATCA